CCCCAAAACCCCAAAACCCCAAAACCCCACATGAATTTATAACAATTTAGAGATTGGTTAACATAAAATAATCAATAGATAATAGATAATGGAAGGAGGTAGATAAACACAAGGTATATAGTTGGAAAAATCTCCCAAAGACAAGAATGAGTATGACATGTTCACACTGAATAATTAATTATAAGTCTTGCTTATTAATGACAACAACTAGATTGAGCTATAGAAGGGCGGCTAAATGGCATCAGTTTCTTTATCTGTGAATGCTGGTTGTTTGAATGACCCAATGCATAGACAAGGTTTAGCACATTTCCTGGAGCATATGATATTTATGGGAAGTAGTAAATACCCAGATGAGAGTGCTTTCTCTACTTTCATCTCATCGCATGGAGGGTATTCAAATGCCTACACAGAACTAGAATTCACAAACTATTACTTTAAAGTGGACTATAAAGGACTATTTGTAGCTTTAGATATGTTCATGTGGCTTTTAAAAGATCCACTTTTAAAATAGGATGCTCAAGACAGAGAAATAAAATCAATTGAAAGTGAATTTGAAGGAAATTACCCTTATGATAGCTCTAGAAGGTGTTAGCTATTGAATTCAAACACTTCTGATAAGCATCATATCTATAACAGATTTACATGGGGAAACATCAAGAGTTTGACTGAGAAAAGCCCAGATACTCTTATAGATGATGTCAGAAAGTTTTTCAATGATCATTACTCAAGTGATAGAATGAAGCTAGTGATTCAAGTTAAAACAGACGATTGTATGAATGAGTTAAGGGAGAAAGTTCAAGAAATATTTAGCTAAATTGACAACAAAAATTTAGGGCTGCAGAATTTTCATTACAAATCTGACGGTGCAATTGTGTAATTACCTTATGAAAATAACCTAAACCAAATGATAGTATTCAACTCAGTCAAGAATACTAATAACATCTAAATTCTGTTTACATTCCATAAATAAAACCTATAACTGACGACACAAGCATTATACATAATTAGTCAATTAGTTGGACATGAAGGCAAGGGTTCTCTATATTAAAATCTTAAGTAAAATGAGTAAATTTTGTCTTTACATTCAAGATATGACACTCAACAAAAGACTTTGTTCTATACATTTGAAGTAAGTTTGACATTGACTGAGAAAGGTGTGATTGAGTATTAGAATGTGGTTGCAGGTGTATTTAGATACTTTAAAATAATCTTAGAGAAGATAGAGAGCACTAAAGATTTCGATGAATTTGATTTTTTAAGACAGATTAAATAGTTAAGTGAAGTTTGCTTCTATTACTATAAGATTCCTGATGCAACTGATTCAGTATGTGAACTTGCAAATGAAATGATTTTTAGCGATGATCACTCTCAAATATTGAAGGACACTTACTCAGGTATTATAGTTCAAAAAATAGATCTGAAGCACATAGTAGATTTCTTAAAGTAAATGACTCTAGATAGTTGTAAAATTGTCATGAGCGGCAAGAACCTATTAGATAAAGATCTCTACGAGAACAAGCTAACAAAGACTAAGACAGAAAAATGGTTCAAGACAAATTATTAAATAGTTGAGAAACCAGTTTCTAGCATTATCAACTAAATTCAAAACTATGATACTTCAAAATTATCTCTCCCACTCACTAATCCCTTGATACCTGAAGATTTCAAAATAAAATCTTAGGCGAAATTAGAAAAGAATTAAATACCTTAACTGATATATAAGGACGAAAATCTCTATGAGCTGTGGCTGCTATAAGATCATACATTCTAAATGCCAAGAGCTATTGTTTAGATAGTATTTATGATACCAAATTTCTTTGAGACTCCATTTAGAAGAGCGTATTGGAGTGTATACACTGATACTTTGATAGAAAAGATAACAGCTGAGGTTGGATATGAGGCATTAATGGCAGATATTTCATATTCTATTAAAGGATTTGAAAACTTAGGATTTAAAATCAAGTTCTAAGGATTCAATGACAAGCTTTCTGATTTTATCAAGATGTTCTTCCAAATCATGAAATCAATTAGAGATAATGGCTTTGAAGAATTCTATATAAGAACTGCTGTTGAGAAGTCTATTAGATCTTTCAAAAACATCAATGTTGAAGTTGACTAAAAGACAACTAACAATAGACTAATTTACTTACTTTAACATCAGTATCATGCCAAATAAATCCTTGAAGAACTAGATAAATTTGACTTACAAGTGTTCAACTAAAACTTTGTGAGGAACTCGATTCTCTAGGACATAAAATACATGAAAGTTTTTATCGCTGGAAACATTGAGTCTCATGATGCTGAAATGATAAGTTAAATTCCAATTTATGAACTTAAAATAAAGCCCCAACAGTTTAATTTGAGAGATTTAAATGTAACCAAGATAAGTCTTCTAAAAGACAATGAAATAGTTCAGTGGGACAGCATTCACTTATCAAAACCGGTAGATGCATAAGATCAAGATGAATCAGAAAATGAAAGTATGGAAGACTTGACTGGATAATAACAAGAGAGTGAGGATGAGGAAGAAGAAGAAGAATCTGAGCAAGTTAATCCGATTGAGGAGTCAGAGATATAATCCTAAAATCAAGATTAATCTCATACAGAAGTACAGAGTGATAAAAACAAAATTGATGAAGAAAATAAGGATAGTTTGAAATAAGCTGAGAGTGACGAGGAGATGGATGATGAGGAGGAAAAAGAAGAGAAGAGAGAAAACAATTCATGCATTCAAGTCTATTTCTAAAGTAAAAGTCATGATCAATTTACAGGTCTGGCTCTCTAGTTGATTGAGTCCATTCTTGAAGAGCTTTTCTATGACGAAATGAGGAATAAAGAGCAATTAGGTTATTACGTCGCTGTAAGCAGAAGACAAGCCAGAGGTGTCTTTGCATTACTATTTACTATTGAAAGTGCAGAATACGATCCATTACATCTTCAAGAGAAAATTGAAAAATTTATTAAGGAAGTCATTTCGAAAATTCAAGAGAAAGAGGAAATTTACAGAGAATACTATGAAGGCCTCATTGCCAGAAAGAAGGAAGGATATAAGGATATCAAGGAAGAAGCAGGCTATTACTTTGGGTAGATGAGAGAATTTACTTGTGAAATGAGGAGTCTATGCTGGGACAGAATTGATTAAGAGATTTAAATGCTTGAGACTTAAATGACTAAGGAGAAATTAATAGAGGTTTTCAACGATACTTTGCTAAATTCACCTAGAATAGCCATTTTTAGAGTCTTTGCTGAGAAGTACAAGCATTTAGCCAAGCATCATGAATTTGAAGAAATGGTGTTATCAGGCGATTATATATCAGGATCTTTGGGGTAATCAATTGACATGTTTCTAAATTCTTGATGAATTAATTAAAATTACTATGAGAATTCAATAATCTTAATTTAATGATTTCGATCCATGGGGTTTTGGGGTTTTGGGGTTTTGGGGTTTTGGGG